GATTCCTACTTGGATGTCATTTCTGTACACCTTTGCAAAGATGTACATTTTAAAACCCTGTATGCTTTTCATGCATCTTTTAAGAATTTAATGCCTCAGAAATGACATTTCAGAAGTATTCAGATACAACTTTGTTAAAGACATTAAATACTTTCCTAAGTATTTCAGAACTTAGAAACTTCTTTCCTAAACTTAAATTGATTCTGTTTTCACTTTGAAGAACATCATTACTCTTTATATGCATTTACTCAATTAATAGTAAATAACAGAAGCTCCAAAACTCATACAACAATGAGCTTCCACCTCAACTGACCTAGTTCATCCATATAGTTAGGCCAATATAGTTATGAGTTTTTCCATCACACCTGAATCTTCAATCTTGAACAAACTTATTTAATATTTACTCTTATTGTATGTATGTTTCCCCTGCATGTGTCTCTGTGCACCGTATATGTCTGGTGCCTGTGGAGGTCAGAAGAGGGTATTGGGTACCCTGGAACTAGAGTTAAAGATGGTTGTGAGCTGCCACATGGGTACTAAGAATTAAACCTGTGTCCTATGGAAAGGCAGTCCTGAGCCATATACTAGCTCCTGAATTAACCCTATTAAATTACACATCTATTAAAACAGATACTAAGATAAAGAAAGCTACTATGTTACTCTTGCCATTCATTTCTTGTGGCTCTTACCCATGCTTCCAAGGAATGCTGATCCTACAGAAGCTGAAAATGAATATTTCTAGGAAACAATCTTGAGGTAACACATATCATGCATTTGGCTTTTTATATTTAACTTTATTGATTTTTTTCTTTGACTGTTCTCATAAACAGATGGCCACAATTACTGATCTAAAGAGACAGTTACTAATTTTGAATGGTCAGGGATTTCAAAGAACAGAATTAGAAGCCTGGTAATCAGGTAGTTTGGGAAGAGATGTGTAGATGAGCACCTTTCAAAACAAGCACAGAATTTAAAGATACCTGTGTCCATGTAGATCCCAAAAGGGCATCTGCTGTGGAGAAGGCTGTTATTTTATTCTATAGTATGCATGTACAGATGTTTATGTGTAAGTAGGCTAGAGGTGGACAGTAGATGTCTTGCTCCATCATTTTACAACTTATTTTCTGGAACAGCATTTCTCAGGGAACCCAGAGTTCAGTGTTTTGGCTAAACTGGCTGCCCAGCAAGGCCTATGGTCCTGTCTCTCTTCATCCCTTCTATTCCATACCATTACCACCCCACCATGCTGGGATTATGAACATACATCTAGACAGCTATATGTTTGCTAGGTATCTAAACTAAGGCCCTTATGCTTGAGTTGAAAGCACTTTACTCGCTGAACCATCTGTCAAGTCCCAGAGAAGGCTGTTAATAATTAAGAAGGCAAAAGTGGACATCCATCAGTCTCTTTCCCCAGCCTCTACAGTGCTTGTGCAGTGAGACTATAAACACAATGAGTATAGTAGCCAAGAAAGAAGATGAGATGGGGCTCAAATTACATCTGAGTATCTATCTTTTGAGAATTAGGAACAATACTGAGTTCCTAATATGTTAGCATTTCTCAAGGGGACAAGACAACTATAGGAGTCATGTAATTTGTAATGGAATTCTTCTATCATGGATGAGTCAGGTTATTGTCCTCACTGAACAGACACATTCTGGATTCTGCTAGTACTGCTAATAATCATGAGCTTTACAAAGTATATCTTCCTACCTGGCACTGCAGGTTATATTACCATCAATCAAGAAACTCACTTTTTTTGGCAACAGAGGTATAACAATGCTTTCTGTTTTTCCCAGTATTCTCAGTGCTTTAAACTAACAACTTATTCATAGTATTTTTGCTTGCTTCATAGCAACTCTGAACTCTCTTGGGTTAGTTTTACTGCTTTTACCAGGAGAACACATACAGTTTTCCACTGAACTAGAGACTTCTCCCTAGCTACTAAACCAATAGGCAACAAACAGATGTTATTCTATTGTCACAAGTGACTAACCTCAATTATCAAGAAGAAAGTGGTTTGTGGCACACAACTGTGGCTAGAAGAACTTGTGTGCCTTACAAAATGTTTATGTCTAGAACCGCAACAACTAAAACAACAAAAAAGGCATGACAATCAAGAACATTATGCAATAAGCAATAAAGTTCAGTTCCTGCTACCAGGTAAAGAACCCAGAGGAGCCAAGTTTCTGCTGAAGGCAAAAATTCTGAAGGATAAGAACTGCACCTATAGATTTTCATAGTTTGTACATGTTACTCTCTCCCTCATTCTCTTTAAATACAGGGTATTGAAAGTGAACCTTTTATAAGGTAAACTTTAGCCAATAAAATATACAGAGACATTATGGTGGAATATATAATTGATATAGTTAGAAATGATTAATAGGACTGTACCCTCTTCATTTGGGTCAGAGTTTAGAACTGTACCTTTTTGAAGGATAGTTGTATTTTATTAGGCAAAATGAGTTGTTTTGTTATTGAATGGAAATCCAAAGTATTTAGCTAAAATGCCATCCCAGTTAATTTTGCATTCTCCTACTTCCCCAACTCCAAATGGACTGACTCTCTGCTTGAAACTGACCCTTCAACAGTCCTAACATTGTAATAAAAGTTGTAGATTCTGTCAGTGTTTTACTTTCCCAAGTGCTAGAGGCGGTTTTGTCAGCAGAGGCTACCCAAGAAAGGTATTTGCTCTACAGTTGGCAGGACAGGGCTGGGTGGGCCAGGCAGGCGAGGGTGGGGCGGGGCGTGGTGGGGCAGAGCAGGGTGGGGCAGAGCAAAGCACAGCAAAGTTCCTGACCCTTTTACCAGATGTAGACCAGTTTGCATCTGGAAAAAGAGATGAGACTTGGGTATTTTTCCTACTTGCTGTCACTGTTCATCAGCTCATACTCTCAGTTCCCAGACAGTATGAACAGATTTTGGCAAGAGGAACTCTAAAGTTCTCTTGCATTAGACTGCAAATAATATTTTCTAATAAAGTCTGTATTTCAGTCATAAGGGGAAAAAAACCGTTCCCCTTTCTGGTTTGTTTTTGACTTGGGATCTCACCTTCAGCTCAATTATTTTTTTTTATCCTTAACAGTATCAAGGCTATTCAATAGTTACTATCTTTAAGTTAAACTGTCCCAGTAAAAAACCTCATTGTATTTTCGTGGACTGGGATACTACTGTCATTCCTAGACTTATACTATGGAGGGTTCATATTCTTCTTGTATCATAATGCTTAGAAACAACATTCACACAAGCCAAAATTTATGTGATTATTATTTTATGACAACTATCATTTTATATACTTCTCCTTCCATTAACTCATTAATCCTAATGAGTGTCTGACAACTTTCACACACACAAAAAATAAAGATCTACTAACCATATTCTTTAGTATAAACATTAGCTGAATGAGCATAATCATGTTTGCTGTGTTTCTGGTGGCTAAGTTAATGTCCAACATGACTTTCCTTAACTTTGTAAAAACTCATATATTCCTACGAGTTATTTTAAAAACTAAAACTTCATTGCCTAGATTACAACTAATGGTCACTTACTGGCTACAGTTTTTTTGTTTTTTGTTTTTTTTTTTGGGAGACAGGGTTTCTCTGTGTAGCCTGGCTGTCCTGGAACTCACTCTGTAGACCAGGCTGGCCTCGAACTCAGAAATCCACCTGCCTCTACCTCCAAGTGCTGGGATTAAAGACGTGCGCCACCACCGCCCGGCTCCAAACAGTTTTTACAACAAATTTTGAACTATTTAAAAACCACATGAGAGTGCGAAAATATTCAAAAGAAAATACTTATCCTAAAATCAACCACAGGCAGTGGTTTCAGAGTTGACTCAATGCAAATTCATTATTTTAAGTTTCACAAACATAAAGGAATAGCAGAAAGGTGTAACTAACCAAGAGCCAAAAAAAAAAAAATTTCTTTGTAAAAGGTTAACATGTTTTATTCTACTCATGGAGAAGTGCAGATTTCATTTAACCTATGGCCAACAATTTAAAGTTTTAGAATTCAAGATGGCATAGAAATTGAGATTCCCTGTGCCTTGGTATTTAAGTAACATTATGAAACTAATTTAGCAGTACTCTCATGTCCCATTTTAAAAATCCTCTTGGGACAATAAAATGGTTCAGCGAGTAAAGGTGCTTGCTGCCAAGCTGAGGACCTCAGTCAGTTCTATCTCAGAACACATGTGACAGAAGGAGAGAACAGATTCAAGTTGTCCTGATTTCTCCATACGTGCACAATGGCACAACATGAGTGTAACACACACATACACACACACATTGAAAGACTTGTTGAGAAGGGGTTTAGTGGGAAAGTAGCAGTATCAAAATACAAATATACTGTGAAAGAATACACTTTAAAGGTATATTAAAATAAAAAAAATTATAAAGCTTGTTAACAACTACTGTAAATAGCCAGGAGTTGTTCTAAAAAAGATTTATTAACGCTAGCTTGTTTATTTCGCAGACCTGGTCTATCAAACAGTGTCTACTATTATCTATTATACCCATTTCTGAGTAAACTTAGAAAGGTTACGTAATCTGCCTATTGCTAGCTAGAAATAAAACTTAGGTAATCTTGCTCTAGAGTATGAATTCTGACAGACTTTTGAAAGCTTTGAGCAATCAAACTTTCTAATGCCTCATGACAACATTTATCAAGGGTTATTATCATCTTTGACTTACAGAAAACTAAAAATAAGTCATATAACTGAGTAAGGTTCAAACACAAAGAAAGGGAAAAATTACATCATCGGAAATGTGAGTTATTAGACTCTTGCCAAAATGTTATATTACACCAACAGGAAATAAATTTTAAGAATATATTATCCACTGAGAAAAAAATATATACAGTAGATCTGAAGAATGAAAGAGTTACAGTATTAATTTTGTCTAGTTAGATGAAGCAGACTATGCAAAAATCCCAGCACTGAGACTGATTTAAGACCTAATCACAAAACAAAAAACACACACAAAAAAAAATAGAAACTTACCTGCATGGAGGAAGGACCATAGAATCTTTTACAAGTACAGATCCAGAAAGCAGGATATACCAACATCTGGCAATAGTTTCTGAACTGTTTAAATATATAAGAAAAAAGTAAGTAAATACAAATGTCTACATATGTGTGGCTTCAATATGAATTCAAAGCATAGAATACATTCTGATAATGCTGCAAATAATTAAAAACTAAGTAACAATATTGGGGGATCTGCATGTTTCCTTACCTAATGTTATACATAGAACATGTTCACAAGGGGTGGGAGATAATTCTCAACACACACAGAGAAGGGGAAAAACACTTCACATCACCAGTAAACAGGAAACATAAGAACACTAAAAAAATTTTTTAAAAAAATTCTCATAAATTAGCCCAACTTATAGGTTTTTGGAAATTGTGCCTAAACATTGTTTAATGACACTGAAAATCAAAGTCAGTTCTTCTTTAAAATATAGTACTATACTGCAAAGGGCGAAAAGGAATTCTACCCTGCACCTCCACAGTTTTATCCTTCCTATCTCTATATAACACAATTTTAGGATTTCTTTTTTTTTTTTTTTTGTTTTGTTTTGTTTTTTCGAGACAGGATTTCTCTGTATAGTCCTGGCTGTCCTGGAACTCACTCTGTAGACCAGGCTGGCCTCGAACTCAGAAATCTGCCTGCCTCTGCCTCCCAAGTGCTGGGATTAAAGGTGTGCACCACCACCGCCCCAGGATTTCACTGTTCTTATTGTTCATCTACTTTCTAATTGTTCTCTTGTCTGTGTATAATGTTCAAACATATAATCAGAGAAGAGATACTAACTTACATTTACATATAGGATAGCAAAATATAGCACACACACACATCATAAAAAATAGAAATAGTTATGAAAGATAGGACAGAAAACACCCAGCATTAGGAGACAGAGTTAAGGGTTAAGAGTTAGACCAACATTATTATAATTAAACTTTAGGCTCAAGTGGAAAGAGCTAGTCAAAAATATGCAAAGTTAGCAGCTGTCAAGAATGTGAGAAGGTAAAAGAGGTAATACTGTCCCAGGGAATATGTATCAAACAATCCAAATTTTTAAGAAACTTATTTTAGGAAAAGTCCACTGAAAGTTAGAAAACATATTCTCACATAAAAATATGCTTTTCCACAAAGTATCAGGTGTTTAGAACATCTACTTGTGAGAAACAAAATACTACCACTGTAGACAAAGCCTATTGTAACTTACAAGTAGTTACATCTACAGACAATTTAAAATTTCATATTTTGTCACAGTCTAAACTTCAAGTCCACTAGACCTTGATTAAAATTCCAATTTCAAGCCACTACAGGGGCTAGGGGCTCAGCTCAGTGACAGAGCTCTTTTGTGGCCCACAGTCCCATTTCTAGCATACCAGTGTGAGAGTGGAGAGAGTAAATGTGTGAGAGAGAAAGAGAGGATATTCTTTTTTATATACAATTCAACAACCTCTACCAAATGCTCTAGTATTTTTAGATCTCCATATTTATCACTCATTTTCTAATTGTCGAAATGTTATAACTGTCAGTAAAAATTTAAAATACTGCAGACACTCATTAGCTCTGAACCTTAACAACTAAGCACAAAGATAAAAACACTTGCGTCTTCTTGAAAGATATTTCATTCTTAGTGTGTTCTCTTGGGATTACTTTGGATTCTGCCTACTTTACAGACATTTTAAAATAGTAGATGTCTTCTCTCACATACTTCTCCTGCCTCTGGGCCTAGAGATGGCTCACTGTCCTCTCCTTATACCTCCTATGGATATCAAACTATTCTTTTCATTAAAAATTCCCAGCTGTAAATTTTAGATCATCAGATCTTATCAGTCAGTGTCCTCTGATGTAATCTGTTCCAGACACTTCCCATTTCTTGCAAAAGTCTTGGCTGATACAAATCCTTTCTAACATTGATATCATGGGGTTTTATACCATTATACTGACATTGATATTCACTCTTCTCAATTTCTTGATTTACTTTTTTTTTGAGACACGATCTTACTCTGTAGGAGTTGTTAGCATTCCTTCTAGGCTCTGCTCCACAATTACCTGGCAGTAGCCAGGTTATCCCTGGCTTACAAGCCAGCCTAGTACTGCATGGAGTTCCAGGACAACCAGGGCTACAGGACAAACCCTGTTTCAAAAGCAAAACAACAACAACAAAAATACTTTAATCCCAGCACTCAGGAGGCAGAGGCTGGCAACTGCTGTAAATTTGAGACCAGCCTACTCTACATCTCCATAGTGAGTTCCAAGCTAGCCAGTGATACACAGTGAGACCCTCTGTCTCATCCCACAACCCTCCCCCCCAACAAATCCACCAACAAAAAAAAACCAAACCAAAGTTAGTTTTCAATTAAATAAAGTAACCAAAATTCACTGACAAAAGTCTCAGATACTTGTGTTGTATCTAATCCTTATGTTGTAAGAAAGTTATAAAATATACAGTTGATTTTACACCAAAGAAAAATACATAAATTATTATAAGATGCTGCTAAATTACTTTAAGATGCTCATTTTTAATCTTTTCTCTATATTATCAGATTTCCTTCACTAAAAGTCAGACACACAGTAGAATGAATAAAAATCTACATAATGTCAACCATTTTGTACTTAATGTATTAAAAATTATACTTGTGTTTTATAACTTTGTTATAATGAATATAGCTACATTATATAGAATGAATTTATTTTAAAAATATGATTAAATCAAGGAAAATAAGAGTTCAATTACAGTTTACAACAATAACTAAAATCTTTTACATCATGGGCTTAATACACTTTTTGGGAAGCAAAATACTGAAGGCTTTAACTAAAAACAACACAATTTTTACAGTCTTAAAGCAGAGATAGGTAGTTGTAAGTTTGTTTGATTGTTTGTTTTCTGGGACAAGGTTTCTCTATGTAGCCCTGGCTGTCTTTCTGGACTCCTTTTTGTAGACCAGGCTGGCTTCAGAAATCCATCTGCCTCTGCCTCCTAAGTGCTGGGATTAAAGGCGTACACCACCACACCCAGCTTATAATTTTTTAAAAAGCAGATATAAAAAGCATTAATTATGGCTAGGGAAATGGTTTAGGGGTTTAACAGTGCATATTGTTATTGCAGAGGATTTGTGCTGGGCAACTCATAACCACCTATAAATCCAATTCCAGGAGATCTAATAACCCCTTTGTCTTCCAAGTATATATTTTTGTAAAGATGTGGAAAAGGCAAAAATCATAATGAGAAAAGTATCTGTGGCAAGCATATCCACCAAGGATTTGATAATCCATACAGAAATTTCCCAAATTAGGCACTACAATAGAAAAATGATTAAGATCTCTAAGATTTCATTAGAAGCTAGCCAAATAAGTTGAAAACATGAGAACCATTCATCATCATTAGTAAACAGGACACTGTAGGATAAAATCATGGTGAGATAATGAAGTGATGAACAGAATGCCTAAAACTGAAGCAAGCACACAAAATAGGCTGCAAAGATTGCAAAGGTTGTTACAGACGGGCCAACAAGGCTGGGTGTGGTGGCTCATGCCTTTGGTCCCATCACTGGGGAGGCCAAGGTAGATGGATCTACATGAGGTAGGGCCAGTCAAGTCTAACCCTAACCTGGTCTTGAGAAAAAAAAAAAAAAAAAAAAAAAGCAAACAAAAAAGATGGATACAATGACTTACTACACAGCTCAAGGTCTCTGACACTGGTAAACTATAGTTGGAAGCTGGCTGATACCCACAAAATTTTAGTAACTCCATTTAGAAACTCTAAAATATGCAAAATTCTAGTAATTTTATTAGCAGGAAGATGTCTAAGTGGAATTAATAAATAAGGGTACAAAGGTGTGAGGTAAATTCCCACAGGGAGCTTATTTTTAACTTCACAATAGTAAAAATCTGGAAGTAACCCCAATATACAGTAGAACAGATAAAAATCAGCATATACTCTAATTACATCAGGGAAAGAGAACTGTTGAGGCCTGTCTCCCTACCACAGCTGTAGCTGTTTTGTTCCATGCCTGCCAGCTCTTTCATATTTTTGCTATAATATACCTGCCAGTCACTGATGCAGAAAAATACTTGACTCAGTGCAGGGTCATACTGACCACATGTCCTGTTTATGTTTTGTATGTTAAGAGGTTTGTTAATCTTAAGACATTCTACAACTACAAGCTTCATGTAGGACCCAAATTCAAGGTGAATATGAACTGTTATGTCTAAAATGGCTTGAGTCATGGCTGACCACTTGGCAGCATTTCCAGCACCTGCATATGAGCTCACTGTAGTTTTTGCGGTTTTAGCCTTTATATGCTGGTCCTGAGAAATGTCCAGCACACAGCTTTCAGCTCTCAAGCCTGAGCTATTGCTCTGGTGGATCAGTCTTTAGGTGTGTGTTCAATAAACTATCCCAACTCCTAAACCCCAACAGAACAAAGGTGGAACATTAAAGAATCTTGGACTGACATCTGCTAAATCAAACATAAAACTCATTTTATTTTTTACTAAATTTGGAAATATACGTAATGCAATAACATTTTTTATAAAAGCAATAGGTAATATTTTGGTTTAAAATATTTTGTCTTTCTTTCGCTTGTAGTTGTAGAATGTCTTAAGATTAACAAACCTCTTAACATACAAAACATAAACAGGGCATGTGGTCAGCATGACCCTGCACTGAGTCAAGTATTTTTGTGCATCAGTGACTGGCAGGTATATTACAGCAACAATATGATCAAAAGATTCTATCAGCAAGAGGTTGAAAAAGAGGTAAATTAATTGATAACAATAAAGTCACAATTTTAATTACCATTCCAAAACAGTGCTGAGTAGAACTTACTAGAAAAGAAAGCCAGTCTCTTTAGCAACAGACTAACTTTAGGTCACAGTTGCATATATTTCTAATATTGAATGCACTAGACTGCTTCCTATGTTTTGTATGTATTATACTTCAGTTTATGATTAGCAAATCAACTTTAATGTGAAAGGTCCAGATTTAAACATAAGTCACTAATCTGAGCTAATCATAAAAATACTTACCAAAAAAGCATTTGATTGCCACTGTATCTCTCATATCGCGCTCTTGTAGACATTAACCTAATAAAAAGGGTAAAAAGATAAGGCTTTATCTTACATTTTGTTTTAGAACTGTCATTTATATCAAGAACAGCTCTTAACTGCTGAGCTATCTCTCCAGCTTGCAATAATATTTTTTATAAAAGCAATAGATAATATTTTGGTTTAAAGTATTTTGCCTTTCCTTTGCTTTCTAAAAAGTAATGCAAACCAGTCATAGTGGCATATGCCTGTAACTGAGGCATATGCCAGAGGCAGGTGGACTGAGGCTGAGTCAGTCATCTGAAGACTGACACAAGTGTCAGGAGCATCAGAGTAATACAGTGAGATTTTGTATACAAAAATCAAGCAAAGTAAAACAAAATTACAAAACCATTCAAACCACAATGATGCCATGGAATAAAATTCTTATGCACATTAAAAAAATTGTCAATTCATACCAAATAATTTTATCATGATAAAATATACATTTGAACGGCTCATTACGGCCAGGAAGTGGTGGTGTACGCCTTTTATTCCAGCACTTGGGAGGCAGAGGAAGGCGGATTTCTGAGTTCCAGGCCAGCCTGGTCTACAGAATGAGTTCCAGGACAGCCAGGGCTCCACAGAGAAACCTTGTCTTGAAAAACCAAAAAAACCAAAAAAACCAAAAAAAAAAAAAGAAAAGAAAAGAATGGCTCATTCCTCCTTCTTGTGAAGAACAGTGACTGGCAACAGTATACACACACACACACACACACACATGCACAAATCTGTAAAGTTCATAGATTTGTTGCATTTTAAAAGAATCTTTAAAATATAATAAATACATTTTGATGACTGTTCTGATTTTTAGTTTTCATTTTTCCTGATATACTCACAAACACTAACACCCAAGTTATTTTATACAGAAAACAAAATGTAACAGTAAAATAAATTATATTTTAACAACCTGGTTCATCATCAGAATCTTTAACACTGAGGAAAAGCAGTGAGCTAACTGGTCATGTAAAGAAAGCAGGTTGAATGAAAATATACAAAATCACAATAATTAATGCTTCATAGCACTCTAAAGTGGCTACAATATAACCATATGATCTCAAATACACAGGTCTGACTTTTCTTCTTCTTTTTTGGTTTGCCAAGTCAGGGTTTCTCTGTGTTCTGGAACTTGCTTTGTAGACCAGGCTGGCCCTCAACTCAGATTTGCCTGCCTCTGCTTCCCAAGTGCTGGTATCAAAGGTGTGCACCACCATGCCAGGCAAGGTCTGACTTAAAGAGGAAGCAGAGAATCGTAAAGTATATGGATCTTGGCTGCAGAAACTCATGCCAGGTTAACATATTGTGCCCATCTTAAGCATCTGGCACAACTAATAAGAGAGTCTTCAAAAGGGAAATAGAAAAGTTTTGAGTTCTGTGCTGGTTAGTATATGTCAACTTGATACAAACCTAGAAATAATTAGGAAGAAGGAATCTAACTGAGGAATTGCTTCTATCAGATTGGACCGTGCGCAAGTCTATGAAGCATTTTCTTGACTTAATAATTGATGTGGAAAGGTCCAGATCACTGTGGTCAGTACCATCTGTATGTAGGTGGCCCTGGGTTGTATAAAAAAGCAACAAGAGGAGAGATGGATGGTTCAGTGGTAAGAGCACTGTCTGCTCTTCCAGAGGTCCTGAGTTCAATTCCCAGTAACCACACGGTGGCTCCCAACCATCTGTAATGGGATCTGATGCTCTATTCTGACATGCAGGTGTACATGAAAATAGAACACTCATTTACATGAAATAAATCTTTAAAAATAAATAAATAAATAAATAAATAAATAAATAAATAAATAAGCAAGCAAGCAAGCAAGCAAGCAACATGAGCAAGCCATGGGGAACAAACAATGCTCCTTCATGACTTCTGCTTCAGTTCCTGCCTCAGATTCCTGCTGTCTTCCCTCAATTATGGGCTGTAATGGGAACTTGCAAGCTAAATAAAATAAACCCTTTTCTTCCCAAGTTGCCTCTTGTTATGGTCTTTATCACAGAAACAGAAAGAAAACTAGGGCAACTCCACTATCTGGCACACATTGAGATCATAGTTCTTCGCTTTAGTTAGTCTCATTTAAATTAAAAGCACTGTAACAAAGATAAAAGTTATCACCTCATTTTATTGATGACAAAACTACCACATATATGATGGAAACTTAAATATCATGGCTAAGAAAAACTGGGATAAGAAACAGAAATTTCTATGCCTAACCTTATAAAAATTCCTAAGTTATCTGGCTCCCTGAGACTACTGTATTCTACCACCTCTTTTTTTCTCTCTGTACTAGAACAAAAGTTTTCTTTGGCCCGTTTTCTAGGCCCTGTTACAGAGGCCTCTACTCAAAACCCATTTCCTAAAAGAGGTCTTCAGTAATCATCTCAATTCAGGCAGCTACTAGGTAGTCACATCATCATGTTGTATCATACTCACAGAATTTATTTCTGAATAGCATACAATTGGTTGTTATTTTTTCTTCCTCCTTCCTTTCCTTCCTTCTCCTCCCTCCCTTCCTTCCCTTCCTCCCTCTTTCCTTCCTTCCTTTTTGTTTTTTTTTAAGACTGGGTTTTACTGTGTAGCTCTAACTGTCCTGAAACTCACTCTGTAGACCACGTTGGCCTCAAACTCATAGAGATCTGCCTGCCTCTGCTTTCCACGTCCTGGGATTAGTGTGAGCATACTCCACCCTGGCTGTATACAGTTCTTATTGTGCTTTCCAACTCTAGGACACTAGAGATCTAATCTAAGTATTTCAAATGCTTAAAATAGGATGATTGTAAAAGGTGCTTAACAAGTACCTGGTGAACAAATGAGTAACTATATAGCACAGACTAATATACCAATTACACTTACCTAAGCTGATGCTCCCTGAGGTTTGATAATATTTCCATTCCATGGAGATAAGAATAAATAATATTTAAGTCCTGTGGATCAGAAAAGTTTTTAGATTACTTTTCAAATACACACTCCAAAATATGACTCATCCCCCTCGCTCAAATCTTTTTTTAAGCACCCAACCATTAAAGACAGAGCACTGTTAACTATACAGAGGCCACAAAAACCTCTGAATTACAAGTTTTAAGAAAGTAAGGAGGAGCTCCCTCTAGGAATTCCTCTTTTTCATGAGCATGACATCTACAAAAGCCACAATCTCATTACTTCTTACCTAAGTATATCACTTCATTATTTCATTCCTAAACAGATATGACCTTTTCTTTAGTATCCACATACTTGTGGATACTAAATATAAAAATATTTGAAATGGTCACATAGGCAACTACGTCTTACCCTGTTTTTAGCCCTCCAGATTAGTCTCAATGTTTGTGGGCTTTAGGCATCCCATCTAACACCTCCAAAAGATCTGGTTTTCCCTTTGTTTTAAAGATGTATTTTATATTTAATTATGTGCATAGGGTGGTGGTAAGGAGTATGTTCATGTGATGTCTCTGGAGCTGGAGTTACAAGTGGTTATAAGCTGCTCACAGTGGGTTCTGTAAGCACAGGTCCTCTGCAAGAGCAGTAAACAGGCTTAAGCCACTTAGCCATCTCTCTCCAGCCCCATGACTTTCTAAGGACTCTAAGGAGATTCGGTGTTATAATTTCCTATAAGCAAAAAATATATCCAATGGACAGCACTACTGTTTACTCTGAAAGCAGCAAGAATTTTTTTTTTTTTTTTTTTTTGGTTTTTCGAAACAGGGTTTCTCTGTGGCCCTGGCTGTCCTGGAACTCACTCTGTAGACCAGGCTAGCCTCAAACTCTCGAACTCAGAAATCCGCCTGCCCCTGCCTCCCAAGTGCTGGGATTAAAGGCGTGCTCCACCACCGCCCGGCTCAGCAAGTATTCTTTAGCCCTCTGATAAAATATAATCTTAACTATGAGCCTTGGCATGTGAAAATGAGAAGTTCACAGAAGTCCACATTCCCAACAGAAAGGCGTGTTCTGCTACTCATGTTATTTAAGATTACTGGTACATGGTGATGATAATAAAAAGCAGGCAAACATTCTTTATATAATGTTTATCTCTTATTCTCTTGTAAGAAACATTTTCTTAAGAGCAGAGACCATTGGTAACTACTGTCACATTCTGATATGTGACTTGACAAGTATCAATTAGTAACAGAGGAAAAAGAAACCAAACAACTTGCTTTTTATTTTAGTAAGTTAATAAGGCAACATGGGAATACTAATAAAAAGAAACATTGAACTGAATCCAAAGATCACAATTTCCTACAAACTATGAAGAGTTAAACATATAGTATCTCTGATTAATCCTTATTAAAATGACAAGTGAAAAAAATTTAAGTGAATAAAAGGGATAACAAGACTAAAAAAGGAAGCCATGTCAAGCAAGAAAGTTCTACAAAGATTTGAAAGATGGCAGATAAATCAAATTAAATTTCTAATACAGCTAACAATATTTCCTCTTTTCTATTATCCCATGTTTTCCTGCAATAAGAATATACCAACTTCCATCAAGAACTGGAATCTATGTTTTCTTCTCACTGATTTTGGTTAGTTCTATGAATTATTCCAATCAGTAGAATGAGACAGGAACAAGGTTACCTAATTTCAGACTTACAAATGCAGTAAGATTAAGAAGCCCATTATGTTAAGAAGCCCATCAATGTTATTAAAGAATCAACCTTACTCAAATAAAATCTGCTGGAGATAATACAGTCTTGGCAACAGCCTAACTCACAGTGGATCCACTAAACCAACAGACCCACCTAGTAAGTTAGTCTTAGTTCTTGAATTTAGTTAGAATATGGCTCCATGACCTCATTAGTAAACTGTGGAGCTATGACAAACTATTCAATTTGTGTGGATTGTTTCTAGCCCTCATCACAGCAGCAGTTTCAGACATAATAATATAGTCGCTGGAGCTAGGTATCCTCAATTAGTACTGAACTAGTTAGTATACTCTTCTGATCATAAGAAATAGTTTTTCATGTGGGATGATATTAATTTATGGTTTTGCTATAGGGCTAGTTTAATGTTCCTACCATATCACACTATAGTCCAAAAACATCTAGATCTCCTAATTATGTATGATTTCATTCTGCTTAACAGAAAGAACAAACGAATGAATACGATGTAGTTTGTACCTTTTGGTACTTGGAAATGTAAATGCCAGAAGGTAGGAAATGAACACTGTAAACTGGGCGGTGGTGGTGCACGCCTTTAATCCCAGCTCTTGGGAGGCAGATGCAAGTGGATTTCTGAGTTCCGAGGCCAGCCTGGTCTGCATAGTGAGTTCCAGGACAACCAGGGCTATACAGAGAAACCCTGTATCGAAGAAAAAAAAAAAAAAGGAATAAACACTGCAAGACTACACTGTAAGACTGAACCTGCCATTTCAGCAAAGCTGTTAGGGGTACCCTGGGTACATAAGGACATTCATTCCAAAGGAAAAAGACTATTGGGATTTCAAATTTAGGTCAAGACAAGAGTAAAAGAGACTTAACCAAGAACCTACCTAAACTCCTAACTATAAAACCAATACATGAAAGAAGACACTTTTATTATAGTTCCATTTATTTTGTAGGGGTTCCAGTGCACAGGTGGCCAGGGAACAAGTTTTGGGAGTAGGTCTTTCCTCCCACTGTGTGTGGGAACCAAACTCAGGGTATCCAAGCTTAGCTGCACGTACCTTTTTGGGGGCTAAGCATTACAGCTCTATGAACAGTTTTTCATTAAGAAGAATGATATCAAGAAACAAAGGCAAGGGGGCTGGAGAGATGGCTCAGCAGTTAAGACTATTGGATGTTTGTCCAGGGGCCTCGAGTTCAACTCCCAGCATCCACATGGTGGTTTACAGCCATCTGTAATGTGATCAGATGCCCTCTTCTGTCATGCAGGCACACATGGAAATAAGACTGTTCATATACATAAATAAATACATGTTATTTTTTTTAAAAAAGAAACAAAGGCAAGTGACTGTTTAAACAGAAATATACACATTTGGTGATACATATGATTATTCAAACCATACTGCCTTGTAAAGAACTAGCATGTAGAGAGTAGAAATTTGCAAAGCAGGAAGGAGATGGAGAGGAACTATACCAAAAGTGGGTTCTAGAAGCCTGCAAAAGTTCCCCCTCTAGTCTTGAAGACACAGTGGTCACCACATGCAAATATATAAAATTAGATTAGAAAAAGAAAGAACAGTATATGGTAGCACATCACTATAATCACAATACTCAAGAGGTAGAACCTGAAGATTCAGAATTTTGGAGAATCAGAAGTTCAAGGTCATTCTCAGCTACACAGAGAGCTTGAGGTAAACCCAGGCTATAAATACTGTCTCAAAATGGGAAAAGGAAAGACCAACAACAACAACAACAAAAAAAAAAAAAAAAAGGAAAAATATTTTTTCAGGTTAATAATAACTAGGCTAAAACAGAAAAACATTTCAAGAAAGAAGTAAGAAAGTTTATTCCATAAGAAATACAACTATATTTCTGAGTGTGACTCTGCAGGTTTGGAGATCTTGATTCCTAAGGGTGTATACAGGTTTTGAGGAAAGGAACAGCGCAAGACTCTTACTGCAAGCTATAGCTACTAGCAGAGTAACTTTAAACTCTAGGGCCTAAGAAGCAACAGGCAAGGACAGCTACTGATTTGAAAGAATAAACTATCTTCATCAGCAGGGAGAAATAGACCTGCTTTTATATAGTGCTTCAATATAGAATAGCAATTACTAACATAGTTTTTAGTGATCAGTTATCTGGAGAAACTACGAAGTATATGAGGGGGTGTATATAGGTTACATGCAATACAACGCTTTTATATAAGGGAGTTGATAATCTACAGATGTAGTATCCACCCACTATGGTCCTGGAATCAACCCCTTGAATTCAAAACCAGCCTACCTATATCATGAATGTCAAGTCAGTCAAGGCTCCATAATAAGACTATCCCAAAAGCCCACTCTTAGGGAGGGGGTGGGGTGGGGGAGCCAGAATTGAGTTTGAGTTCTGGTTCATGTAGTAATAGTCCTATGTAATACTAAACTAGCAACATTTGGAAGCTTAGGAGAAAAATGCATTCTCAGGCCCAGAATCTTAGGGATTATGTTTCCATGGCTCCAGTCTAGTTTAATAAGCCGTACAGGCGTGTCTTCATACACTAATGCTTAGGTTTACAGGCAGGCGCCATGTCACTCTAAATTATTTGTCTGGTAACATACTAATTTTGGATGAAAGCAAAAGAACTAGGACGTTTACTTAATGCTTGTTCTTCCAATATAGCAACCTAAAAAGATACAAAACACTAAGCCTTCATACAAAGACAACTTCCAGAACACATGGGTAGTTATTTTTTTACTTTTACTTCTTTTTTTTTTTTTTTTTTTTTTTTTGGTTTTTTTGAGACAGGGTTTCTCTGTATAGCCCTGGCTGTCCTGGAACTCACTCTGTAGACTAGGCTGGCCTCGAACTCAGAAATCCGCCTGCCTCTGCCTCCCAAGAGCTGGGATTAAAGGTGTGTGCACCACTGCCCGGCGTTTTAAACAGAGGTAGAAAGAAGTTTCTTGGGGCTTTTGTATCAGTTAACCACTATGAGACAAGACTGAGGAAATACATAACCTATTAGGCTTCCTGCTTATGCAAAAGAAACAAAATCTATCCTAGCAAACCCCACTCCTCTAAAAGAAAAGAAAATGAAAAAAACCCATTAAGAGCTTAAGGCAAACTGAAAGGAAGTCTTATAGAATTTTGTTTGCAGTCACAAATTCAAATGCTAGAAAGGGAAACGCTAATCACTTACAAAGTGTACTGGAAAGCTATTTGATGGAGCCTGAAAGGAGAAGCAGTGAGGAAGACAGAAAATTAACCATCTGGGACATGACAACACCCTAAATCACTAGCATCTGTTTCTTTAACTGTACCAACAAAGTACTGCAGAAATTATGCAGAGCACT